ATATATATATATATATATATATATATATATAAAAACAAGTTAATTTTACTGAAATTACTTTATTTAGTAAAGTATTCAGTCTCAAAGTATAAAAATGATCCTTCTTTTATTTAGATTGAAAAAGTGCACAAAATATAGATCAATAAATCCACCACAAAAACTAAAGTGCAGGTGAAGTTTCCCAAAATAACTAAATAAAATGAAGCTTAAGATCTGTTGAGCATAAACGTAACATTCAACAAAAAATATGTTGCCTTTAAATGAGCTATAACTTGGGGGGGGTGGGGGGGGTGCACAGTTTGTTGTGGTCGTTCGACGCGCTCAGTTCTGTTAACGGAGTGCTTGACGTTTGATGTCATGAAATTAGCATATCATGATATCGATTTGCCCGGCAAGTTTTTTTTACCGGTATTATTGTTAATGATTTGGTATGGCCCAGCCGTACTTAAGGGAATGTAAATGTTTGTAAAACCTCCATTTAGAACGAGTCTGAAGGAGCTGCGTTGTCATACGATGGTGGAATTGTCTTGATATCACCATAAACATTTCTAAAACAATTTATATGTTTTAAAAGATGATTAACTTAAAATTGTTAGGAAAGTATGATACCATGTGAAGGATGCCTGATGTTTGTGTTTTCACTTTGGAGATTGTTCAATCCTAAATTGTTTTTGTTTATTATATATATATCTATATCTATATATATAGACCAATACTAATAAGGGGCAGATATAATAATTTTCTTATTTCTGCACCCATTTCATTCATTGTTTTTTGTTGATGAATTTGTTTTGTTTCTTTTAAATGAATGAATGAATAAATAAATTAAAATGTAACTGTGAGGGGTTTGACGAGCTAACAGTAAGACTAAAGTGGATTCTTACGTCTTGATAAAACCCCAGTGGCAAAAATGTTTAATGTTCACACAAACAGGATTTTATAAATTTTAACACCACCTTCATTTTGCCATTAAATTCTACCAGAAACAGAAAAATATTCCTGCTACAAGCGTTGCTTACAAGTAACCACAGATCTGGATGTAAATAACCATGTGCCCATGAGAATATACAGGTTCGTAAAAAGAGGCTCAAGTGAACTACAAAGGTTTTGAAAAAGAGTAGTTTTAAGTTATCAATCCACTTTGGTCTTGTTCTGACAAGCTCTTAACTCATCAGTCCAGTCAGATGTTCAGAGGTGTCTACAACAGGTAAGATAATACTCTTCATTTATTTGTTAACCTTTTTCTTGTCCACCAAAATCCACTTCATATCTAAATTATCACTTGAAGCTTTAAACTTAGCCTTTTTTGTGACAAACTTATAGAACTGACACCATTTCTGCAAAACAAATGTATCACAGGTTCTAAAAGCAAACGACGACTGAAGTTTTATACTTGGTCATTTTTAATAAGATGTGGAAGTGGAAGAAGTTTGTGACCCTCTAAACTCAGCTCTACTGTCAAACTTCAGAAAGGATCTGGTGCATGGCAGAACGCGTTTCATTTTAACAGCAGAGTGTGTTAGTCACATTAATTGCAGATATGCACATGGGGAATAAGACCTAAAGTTTGTCTAATTGGAAAACACTGTGCCTCAACTCCAGAGCTCTGGACCTTTCTGAGCAGTGGCTGACCATCACTCCAGTGCCACAGTGGGTCACAGCGTGAGGCTGGAAAAGAACCAAACACCTCTGGCTTCATAATCAGGAGAACTTTGAACAACAATGGTGTGTTTGATGACGCTTTAAGAAAAGAAGCAGAACTCTTGTTGAAGAAAAACATGTTTACAATCTATAGTTTTGATTTTTCAGAAGGTTATTGGAAAAAAAAAATGTTTCGCGTGTGAATGAGACTTTGATACCTGCAAAGTCCTGGAAAGTTTCAGGACATTAGTTGTTAATCTGAATCTCAAGAAAAAGAGGACGATGGAACAAGACTAAAAATAAAAACACTTGGGATATGCAACAAAATAGAGGTTCATGGTTTAGAAATCATTTGAATCCAAACAAAATGTAGAACGCTGAGCCAGCAGTTAATGGGAGAAAGCCGATCAACATCCTAGATAAAGACGAGCTAAATTCATCTGACCTGTTAAAAATTCATTAACAAGAAACGTTTCACTGTAGTGAGTTCAGAGCAAAGTCTCTTCATTAGCCATTCACGTTTATTCATTACGGTTTTTATGATTCTTGGTTAAGGAATTATCATAAAGTACCATTTCTTTAATTTGGTCTTTTTAACTGCTTTTTGCATTTCAGACAATATTTACCAAAGGTTCAGGAAATATTTATGAATACAGTAGTCCCTCAGTACTTCGCGGTTCGACTTTCAAGGACTCACTCTTTCACGGGTTTTCAATGCAAGACTATACGACACACGGTGGTCAACTTTAATATCACTCACGTGATTGGGACAGTACAAGGTAAAAAGTTAATGGGAGCGGAAACCAACCAGTAGGACAAAAAACAAAACAACAACAAAAATAAATACTTCGGACAGGCACTGCCATTTTGTAGTTGTTTTTCAATAAGCCTACACTGTAACGCCAGTCTAAAGAACTACACTACCCAGAAGCCAACAGTACTTCTGGCCACTGCTTTTTGCTGAAATTCAAAGAACAGCAATGGAGGGAGCAAACACGAGCGGAGAAACTGATGTGGTGAAAATAGTTTTGCAACGAAGAGTCAGAAGTAACAATCTATTAAACTCAAAGAACTGGCAGGACAGTCTCAATCCTGAAGCTGAACTCTATTCAAGTTGTATCTTCACTGGTGAGTACACATATAAAATGCAGTACAGTACATATAGGTATGTTGTTAAAATGACATGTGTTTAAAAGTTTAGAACATTGTTAAGAACATTGCAAGAGTGTGGGAAGACTTTATAAAGCCTTAAAATACACTGCCTGGCCAAAAAAAAAAAAAGTTTCCACCTGGATTTAACTAAGCAAATAGGTACGAGTCTCCTATTGGATAATTACTGCATGGGTGATTATCTTTCAGCTGCAACAAGTTATTTAACCTCAACTGGTGCAATGAGTTGCTTCTCATTTCTTAAACAACCATGTCAAAGACACATCACATCCATCCATTTTCTTCAGCTTATCTGGGGTCGGGTCGTGGGGGTAGCAGCCTAAGTAGGGAGGCCCAGACTTCCCTCTCCCCAGCCACTTGGTCCAGCTCCTCCAGGGGAATCCCAAGGTGTTCCCAGGCCAGCTGAGAAACATGGTCCCTCCAGTGTGTCCTGGGTCTTCCTCTGGGTCTCCTCCCAGTGGGACGTGTCTGCAACACCTCACCAGGGAGGCGTCCAGGAGGCATCTTAACCAGATGCCCGAGCCACCTCAACTGGCTCCTCTCCATGTGAAGAAGCAGCGGCTCTACTCCGAGTCCCTCCTGGATGATTGAGCTTCACTTGAGCTTGAGCTTCACACCACTTTTGGTCTGCAGAGAACCTCTTCTCGAACCGAGAGGCCAGCCGAGTCTGGGTGGACGGCATCTGCAGCCAGTTTCTTAGGATCCACTGTGGGATGGACAAGAGATCCTTCCTGCCTACAGCCTCAGTATCTATAACATCTCTTAATCTCTTTTTTTTTGGCCAGGCAGTGCATGTAAATATTAAAATAAATATTGCGTTTCTACTTGGCAGATTTTCACCTATCGTGGTGGTATATGGAACGTAACCCCCGTGACAAGTGTAAACACTAACTAGTGTGAACAGACATGAGCGAGCCATGTAGCGGAAACACACTAACCTTTGCATGTCTGATGGAGCGTATGACTTCATTGTGCTCTTCCATTTGTGAATGCTAGGATACTTCAGGGGGTCCACATCTGTGCACTCGATCGCTGACAACACCTCTCTGTCCAGTTTGGTTGGAGAGTCCCTGCAAAACACGCAAGATTTATTATCTGCATTATCAAAATGCAGGGGAGCTCCTACTCGTCATCACAGCCGCCAGTAAAACTCAACATGGTGTTAAATTGTGCTTGAGGAGCCAATAACAAAACTCCAAAGATGTGCAGATGACCATTTCTCTACGCTGCTGTAAATGTTGTCACATCTAGACCGTCAACATGATGTGTGAAGGAACTGGTGACTCACCCCTCAATGAAAAGCCCTCTTTTAAAATGCGGGGGAGTCCTGGGTAAGAACTCGTGGGAGTTATCGAAGGATTTGTAAGAGGACCCTGAGGATCCTGAGCTGCTCAGGTCCCTGCCTCCATGGTCCCATGACCTGGACCTTGCACAGAAATTGCGCACCCCTGAAACTGTCCCTCTAGTCCTATCCAGCGCCTCCAGACCCTCTTCTGCTTCAAAGTACTCCTCCGAGCTGCTGCTCCTCTCCTCTGAACCTCCTCCATCTGTTCTTCTGCCTGCTCGATCCACATCCTCACTATTCTGACCAAGAGACAGGCGGGTGAGTCCAGAGCTCAGGTCTGTGGCTGAGGAGGAGCTCCAGTTGTCCTTGTGCCGACGCCCACCGCTGCACCTCCTCTCCCTGTAGCTCGTGGGACTGTCCATTGGCTCCTGCAGCGACATGCGCTCAAACTCCACCATGAGATTGGTGATGGGCGACAGCAGTCCAGAAGACGGGGAGGTGTATGGGGGCACCTTGTCTCCATTGTGAGTCCTGTCTCTAGAGGAGGAGCATGCCCTGTTTTTACAGACGACACCGGGTGACAGGAGGCCATCGCTGCAGCAGCACAAAAGGTCCTGCTCGGCGGCCGTCTCGATCAGGTCCGCCCCGCGGTGGAGAAGCGTGAACTCGCGGCCACCTACAGCTCCCTTCAGGACATCTTTAGATGAAGCCGAGGACGTGATGCAGCTGAGCGCTGCGTTTTGCCGGTTCTTTATCTCCTCGAGGCTGATATCATCACTCTCATCCAGGAAGGCACCCACAGAAATGGAGTTGCAGAATTTTTTAGGCTTCCCTGGAATCAGAAATGATGAAAATGGACTCCTGAAGTAGATATGAGTAATGTGTAATTCAAATGTCTTTATCTATTAATCATTTGTAACAAGTTAAATCTTAGATTATGAGAATGTTTAGAGTTCCAACGCATTCATTCAGGAAAGATCAAACAATTCTTTATATTTTTATACCTGGAGAGGGAGTTTTAAACCTGTTACTGGTCTCATTCTGTCCAGCCCCCTCATGAGTCCTTGGGCTGAAATCCTTCTTACTCAGGTACTCCTCCAGTTTACAGAGCCCCTCAGCTGATGACAGATCCACAAAACAATCCAGGAAGACCCAATATTCAGCCCAGGGCAGGCCCATCTTGTGAGCTAAATCTCTGAAGAACAAGAACAAGTCATCAATCATCGTCATTTATATATGAATGTTTCTGTTCAGTTCCTGAGATGACTTCTGTTGTGACCTGGCACTATTTAAATAAACTGAATTGAATTGAATAGTAGTAGGCCAAGTGAAACCACCTTCAAGGAACACAACATGTACATTTAAAGAGAAGACTTTGGTTTTTGATGTACCTTCCCACTCTCTCTGCCCCTCTGTCAGGGTCCGACTTCAGAAGGTGGTGGAATAGCTCGGCCCGTTCTCTAGGGGGCGTCTTCCACGACCGACGAAAATCATCTGCCTGTTTTCAAAGACAATTTGTGATGATCAGCATCTGGTTTTGATTTTACAAATACAAACATATGCAAGCAACCAGGAAGTGAACTTGCTTTAGAAGGGCTCAGCGGGCCAGCAAAGGCCGTGACGGCCATTAAAGGATCCATGGGGCTCCTTGTGTGCTGACGGATCAGTGACAGACTCTCTGAGGACTCAGGTGACCATGAAGCACCAATGATGGGCTGAGAGGTGTTGTCTGTTGCCCTCAGCAAAGGGATATAGCAGCGATCTGTGGAACAAAACAAACAAAATGTTGGACAAGTTTTATGGACATTATACGGGTTCAAAATTCACCCCCGCCCCTCAAAAAAAAAAAAAACCTGTTTTACTTGCGACTGGTGCATTCGGAAAGGTCGGATTCTGCCCAAAAAACTAAGCTTATTTGTTCACTGTGTAGTTCTTTATGCCAAATGCTAACATCATGCTAACGGTCTAAAATCAGACAAGACTACCATATTTTTCACCCTATAAATCGTAGATTTTTGCATAATTTGCATGCCCTGCGACTTAAGGGCTGAAGCAATGTATTTATGGATTTTTCCCAAATGTATAAACATATTTTTGGCTGAGACATGACCGTTTTCATTCATTCCACGCCGCCCCAACGACATTTATTTAGTAAATTATTTCAAATGTATTCATTTATTAAGTAAAAGTTCAACTGAGACACACCTTTGCTACAACGTCGAGTTAACAAATAACTGTTTTAGGTGCTTATATTGTTAAATTATAAAGAAATGCACAGCGAGTCACCCGCTGTGCGTTCATGTTTCTGCGTATCAGCTTTTGAATTACAGCTGATTTGACCGTCAAAGTGCATTTATTAAGCAAAAGTTAGACTCAGACACGGCAGCATGGTGGCGCAACTGGTAGAGCTGCTGCCTCTCAGCGAGCAGGTCCTTGGTTCAAACCCCGGTCCAGGGGCCTTTGTGGGTGGAGTTTGCATGTTCTCTCCGTGCATGTGTGGGTTTTCTCCGGGTACTCCGGTTTCCTCCCACAGACCAAAAACATGCATGTTAGGCTGATTGGTAACTCTAAATTGTACCTAGGTGTGAGTGAGAAAAGTGAATGGTTGTTTGTCTCGTTTGTCTCTATGTGTCCCTGTGATGGACTTGTGACCCGTCCAGGTTGTACCCCGCCCCTCGCACAGTGATTGCTGGACATGGGCAACGGCGACCCCTGTGACCCAAAATGGAATAAGCGGGTAAAGATAATGGATGGATGGATGGATGGATAGACTCATACACACCTTTGCTATAATTTCGAGCAAACAAATAATTGTTTTTAAGTGTTAATCTTGTTAAATTCTTGTTAAAGTCCTCCCGTGCACGCTCCCGCGGCTGCCATTTGGCAGCCAATCGATTTGTGGCACAACACCGGTCCACGTTTCCAGGTTGTCAGCGACAAACACGACGCTTCAGCGGTGAGGCGTAAAAGATGCAACGTATTTATGAATTTTTCCACTTTATTAGACATATTTGGACTGATGCGACTTATAGGGCAGTGCGACGTGTACGGTGGAAAATACGGTACCTTCTAACAAAAACTCTACGATTGATCAGATTTATTTATTTATTTTTTAATCTTAGTGAATTCTGACACAGACAGGTTTACATTTTCTTCTTAAACACGCTCGTACTCTCTGGCCTTTAACAGCATGACTGTACATATTTTTTGTATCTTATAAAGCAAAAGTTTTTTGTTGTTTAAATGTATTTTTTGTCTTAAACTTTTAATTGATTTAATTATTTTGTGGTCACTCTTGTGTTTGACATCATCTTGTGTGTAGTTTTAGGTCTTTTGACATTTTGTGATGTTGTTTCAGTTTTAATATGTTGTGCAGCACTTTGCTTGGTTTTAAATGTGCTATATTTGTAAATTTGATTTAGATAAAATCACCTCAAATGTCAAATCATTAAAAGGCCTCTTCAAACTAGATGACAAATCAAAAGTATAAAAGCAGTTGCAAGATGTATCACTCTGTCCCTTTAGCTCCCTTTGAGTACTTATTGTACAGATTTATGGCAGCAGTTCTCCAACCTTTCATGACGCTCCCCCCATTTGAAAGAAGAAATAATCATTTAAATTTTCCCTTAGTAAATTTTGTCATTTAAAAAGGTGTTCACTTGTTTTTATGACAAGTTTTTTTCCAAATTGCTCCTTTGGACTGTGCATAAAAAAATCTAATATAACCTTCATTTTGATAGAAGAATAAAAAAGCCTTGCTTCATCAACCTCTCAATATTAAAATTAGAGAAATAAAACAAAATGTACATTCACTTTCAGAACCATAAAATAAAGTCCAGTCTGTGTAAAAAGGTATTTGGTAAAAATATGAAATAGTCTTCCTTTAAAAGTGAGAGCTGATGTTGTTTCTTAACAGTATTTGAGGCTTTAGAAAAAGATTTTTTCCGACGTCAACGTAAGTTTCAACAAGTGTTATTAACGTTAAACTTTATACAATCAGCTGGCAGTTTTAGACATGTTTTGTTTAGCCACTGTGAGTAAATAGTTTCTGCACTGTTTCAAACAGTGAATCGTCAGATATATATGATCAAATATTGGTTCACATCATCACCTCATCCTTCAGCCAGGAAACTTCCTCCACAAAAAATATAAACTATTCCCATCACGTGTCATTACTGTTAAAAAGGGTCACAGTGGCTGAACAGTGAGGACCCACTCTACACCACACAGGATGCAGCTCATCCATCTTTTTTTTTTTTTTTTTTTCATTTACCCTTTATTTATCCAGGTTAGTCTCATTGAGCCACGAGAACTCATTTTCAAGAGAGACCTGTTTAGGGAGCACATGGTGGGGGTTAAGGGCCTTGCTCATGGGCCCAGAGTGGGGTGAATGAGGGTGGGGGCAAGTGTGGGTGTTTCACCTACCCCACCCACAATTTTGATGTTGTCGGGGCCGGGGCGTGAACCGGCGATCTTCGGATCACAGGCCCACCTCTCTAACCTCTGCGCCACCACTCCCCCAACCCAATCTAATCGCCGTTTGTCAGACATGCAATGTGTAAACATTATTTCCACCTTTTTAAGACCAAAAATATATAATTCAGGAGTATTCACCAGGGGTAGGGAAACCACTGTATGGCAACTGAACACGTTTCAAGGAATACAAACGCACAGGGACAGTAGCATTTAGTGTGCATCCTTACCCTCCAAGTAGTCGCTTATCCTTTGTTTCACTTCCTGGGTTTTATTTTTCCTGCTACAAATAAGCTGTGGAAAGAAGCAGATACATACGGTAATTCAAAGTTCAGACGTGCAGCTGCTGTCAGATCAACCGAGCAAACAATTTAAAATTAGCCCACACTGTTGAGTGAGTGATAGTGGCCAAAAGATTTTAAGGTCACAGCTAGAAAATAAATTCTGGTTCAGGTTTACTGTGGGTTTCTGAATTACTCGACAGTTCTATATTCCTGGATACCTTCCGTGTCAAAATACTTCCAGGTAATGTAAGTTGTAAGGAATGTTGCCAAGTTGATAAAGCACTTAAAGTAGAACTTACATCACAAGGCTTCACGCTGTCCTTGTTCTTACAGTTCTTATCGATGTCGGGATGCGAGCACAGGACATTGACCACATCTGGACATCCAAACTTACAGGCAAAGTGGAGTGGTGTTTCAAAACCCTAAAGCAGAAAAAAAGGCAAGAAATGATGTGATTACAGCCAACTAACTACATCTGAATAAAATCATATCTGTTCACTGGACAAGAACTGACAGCTTTATCTGGAGTGTTGAGGTAAAGATCTACAATGTAGCGGATTCGTTTTTGCAGCATGACTTCCTGGTCGTCTGGGTACATGAGGCGCATAAACTCTGGGTTTTCCAAAGTGTCCAGTAGCAGCTGGGCAATCCCTGCCTGGTTCTCTTTGGCTGCCACGTGCATGACATTGTACCGGCAACCCTCCTGAAAAAACAAAATAAACACCACATGTATAGATCAGAAAATAATCCTTCATAATCTCCTGGATTTATTTATTTGCCGTATTTGACCATAACTTTACAGGCTGAAGTTTAGGCTCTACCACCCTCAGCTAAATTCATTTTTTAGTGACTATGGCTTAAGAAGCAAAAACTAGTTTTGATATAACGATAAAAATTACTAGGTGGACATTATATATTAACATTCAGATAATTTTTCAAGTAGCTAACATTCAGAATAAAATCTCTGGGGTCAAATAAAGGCTCAGAACAGGCAGTAGCTGGAAGGTTGGCCCTGACAATGGAAAAAATGTTTATGTAGCAACAAATGTCAAGGTCCCAGGTCAGGTCAAGTTTCTCTATTTATAGAAGAGACTTTGCAGAGTTTGTGAAACTATGGATGCTTTACTACTTTAACAAGCTCATAGATTGTCACATTGCCAAAAATTCAGAGCTCATCTTAAGGTGGATTAAATTTATTATTTTAAACCACTTGATAATGTACTTCATTATAATTGGGCCTTGTTTGGGTTTTTTGAGTTACACACACACAAAAAAATATATATGTACAATACTATATGATGTCAGAACTGCTTCATTAACAAAAACATGAACAATTTTATTTAATAAGTTACTTTTAAAAATTTAAATGAATGACTAAATGATTGAATTTACAATGATAAAATATTACAATATGCAGCTACAAACATTGAACTCTAAATTCCCCTTTTTGGAGCAAAATAAACATTTATTTTGCACTCCACTTTCAATTTTCAGCCTTTCCGTAAAACTGTGACCATAAATTAAACTCCTGTCCTCTTGAAGAGTTGCATGTTCTGGACCAGATGAAACCCGATAGTGTTGATGAGGTTTGTTTATGCAGGTACGTGTTTAAAAAGGTGCAGACAATATGGCTCCATTACTAACCCGAGGACAAAACTGCAGTGATTTTCATCATTATAAAGCCATGTATCTGCCTCAAAAAGGAGGACCGGAGGGTGTGCTCCAATTACAGGGCTTCACTCTCCTTAGCCTCCCTGGTAAGGTCTGTTCAGGGGTACTGGAGAAGCGAGTCTGATCGTTGGTCGAACCTCAGATCCAGGAGAAACAATGTGGGTTCTGTCTTGGCCGTGGAACACTGGACCAGCTCTTTACCCTCAATATGGTCCTCCAGGAGTCATGGGAGTTTGCCCATCCAGTCTACATGTGTTTTGTGGACTTGCAGAAGACTTTTGACTCTTCCTCGGGGTACACTGTGGCGAGTGCTCCGTAAGTATGGGAATGGGGATCCATTGCTAAGGGCTGTTCGATCCCTATACAAGCGGTGCAAGTGTTTGGTTCACATTGCCGGTAGTAAGTCGAACCCTTCAGGACGGGAGTTAACTCCACCAGGGCTGCCTGTTGTCGCTGATTCTGTTCATAACTTTTATGAACAGAATTTCTCAGTGCAGTCAGTGGGTGGAGGGATTCCATCTCTGCTCTTTGCAGATGATGTGGTCCTGTTGGCGTCATCGTGCCGTGATCTTCAGCTCTCATTGGAGCAGTTCGCAGCAGAGTGTGAAGCGGATGGGATGAGAATCAGCACCTCCAAATCTGAAGCCATGATCCTCAACCGGAAAAGGGTGGATTGCTCTCTTCGGGTCGAGGGTGAGGTTCTGCATCAAGTGGAGAGTTCAAGTATCTTGAGGTTTTGTTTATGAGTGAGGGAAGAATGGATCATGAGACTGACAGATTGGTGCAGCGTCTGCAGTACTGCAGTCTGTTGTGGTGAAGAGGGAGCTGAGCTGTAAGGCAAAGCTCTCTGTTTACCGGTTGGTCTACGTTCCTACCCCAAAATAGAGACAGTTGTTTTAGTGCAGCGATTTATTTTAGAAATAAAAACACATTTGCATCCCACCATGGATCAGTCAGCAGCATTGTGCGTCCTGAATAATTCTCTCCCTGTAGTTGGATGACTGTCAGGGTTTTGGGATGTGGGGAGGAGCCCATGTCAGCACCCGCTGCTCATTGGACAGAACGAGTCTCCAAAAGTCTCAACACCAGAAGAAGTGCTAGACTTGTATCCAGTCGATTATTGGAAATGTAATCACTAGAGGGGACTAAAAACGCACAATATAGCAACAAAAACACTAAACTGGCAACACTGCGAGTGTTTCGCAATCCACCACCTCTGCCTCCAGGCGCGCGTTTGTTCATTGATTCAGTCATGCATCGAAGCGGTCAAATTATTGAACATTATGGGATTATTGAAATTATTAATCGTACATTGTGCAGAGGGCAAAATTATAAAACAAATACAGTTACTGTATGCCTGGCAACACTGTGCTCACACCTGGGCTCAACCCTAACCAGACAGCACAACTCGTCCTTAATTTTAGATACATGAATTTAAGCCTTTTTAAGGATGTGCGGACCAGACGCCCTGACTGTGTAAGTGTGAAGTTTACAAGCAGTAGTGGAAGACAGAGGGTTAGGGTTAGTTAGTAAGACACTCACTCTGCTCACGTATGACTGTGCACCTACCCATCCAGGCTATCATTGTAAAGTCTGCTGACGATATACAGCGGTGGTGGGATGCATCACACAACGATGAATCCAGTCACAGGCAGGAGGTGGAACACCTGGAGAGCTGGTGCAGGAAGAATAACCTTCACATCAATGTGAAGAAGATGAAGGAGCTGGTCGTGGACTTCAGAAGGAACAAACACACCTACCCCACGCCCCCGAACGTAAGAGGATCTGTGGTGGAAGTGGTCTCCAGCTACAAGTACTTGGGTGTGCACCTGAATGACAACCTCAGCTGGAGCAACAACACCACCAGCCTGATCAAGAAAGCTCATAGGAGACTCTACTTCCTCAGACGGCTGAGGCGAGCTGGTCTGGGAAGCTCAGTCCTCACCTCCTTCTACATGTGTGCAGTGGAGAGCATCCTGTGCTCCAGCATCAACATGTGGCATGGAGGCTGCACAGCTGCATAAAGAAAAGCTTTGCAGAGAGTGGTGAAGAAAAGCTTTGCAGAGAGTGGTGAAGAATAGCTTTGCAGAGAGTGGTGAAGAATAGCTTTGCAGAGAGTGGTGAAGGCTGCACACAAGTCTGTTGGAGTCAGTCTCCCCACAATCACAGACATCTACATCTCCAGATGCAGGAAGAGAGCCACCTGCATCATGAAGGACCCCACACACCCAGCACATACACTTTTTGCCCCGCTCCCCACAGGAAGGAGGTTGAGGAGCATTAAGTGTAGAACCACTAGACTGAGGAACAGCTTCTACCATGAAGCTGGTAAACTCATGAATCTCTAACCAGAATAATCACTGTGAAAAAAAAAATCACTGTAATGCCACTTGTTTGTTGATATGTGCTGCTGATTATCCATGTTGTTGATCTCATGCTGCTGATTTATTTCATGTTGCTGTGTTCATTCGTACTCATCTGCTCACACAGACTCATGTTCTCGTGAACTTACGGTAAGATGGCGCCCGTGTACATGGCTTGCAATCCACCTCTGCAGATGGTGTTCGGATAATTTTTGTTTTGTTCGTTTTTTTTTTTATCTGTGACATAAACTCACTGCTGATGTATGACCGACAACAGCTTCTGGATCTTCATTTTTCTGCTGTACCTCTGGAAACACCCCCCCACCTCACCCCCACCCCTGCTGGCAGATGTGCTAGCTTATCTCTGTTGTGCTCCTCACCTCACTGCCCGGAGACATCGCTTCAGACGCCGGGGAAAACGTGCTGGGTGGCTCGTAAAGCTTAAAGCCCTGCGCGCTGCATCATCCTCTTCAGCTGGTGGTCATGGTTTCCATCGCCAGCTTCCCGCGTACCCGGACAGGGTAAACAATGGGAGTTGTCAGCCGGTGGGCAGCTCGGACCGACCTGGAGGGGCTGTTATTGAAAACCTGAGGCCACTGATGCGCGCAAACTTCACTGCTGCTGGCTCCACTTTGGACAGTATCCGGATGCATTTGGTCAACGCAAGATCTGTTACCAACAAAACTTTTATCCTTAGGGACTACTTTCTGGAGCACGAGTTGAACTTTTTCTGCATCACAGAGACTTGGATGTCTCCGGGTGAGTCCAGCACCTTGATGGAATTATTGCCACAGAACTGTCTGTATTTTAATGCCCCGCGGCCATCAGGCCGGTGCGGTGGTGGATTATTAACAATATTCAAATCAACTTTTGACTTTAAACAACTGCCCATCCCAGTTTCCCGCGCCAGCTTTGAGCTGAGCGTCTTTGAACTCGGCCATTCGCCTCCGACATTAAGTGCATTCGTCTACTGCCCACCTCGATCTAAGGATTTCATAAATGAGTTTTCTGACTTCTTGGCTGAAATCACAACAAAATATAATCATGTTTTCATTTTTGGGGACTTTAATTTGCACATGTGCTGTCAGGAGAAGCCCTTCTTTAAGGACTTTTTAGATTTATTGGATTTGTTTAATCGAAAGCCCCCAGTATACCGCCGCGTACATCCATACGCAGAGGTACGCACGTATGTACGCAGAGGTACCAGCGTACCCCCCAGGGCATGTCCGTGCAAAGCTCAAATTTTTACGATCGCATACGCGGTGTCGCACAATAAATGCCCAGCGACGGACTGTTTTGTATGCGACACCAATGTATTAAATTCCCCTTCTTCATCTCTGATCTGGCCTTTTCTTTTGTTTTTTTGCCAAGAGGCAGTGATCTCTTCCTCCTCCGTTAATGCCATGACAAAAAATGGAGGAATTTGTCACAAGCGAATTAAACTCAGGTCCAGCGTGGTTGCGGGAGGGTCTGGAGATTTCCTGGTGGGCTGGTCTGATGTGTGGGCTGTAGAGCCAGCACTCTCTGTTTTTTTTTTTTTTTTAGATCTTTTTATGAACAACATATAAACACAGAACACCGCTGTGGCTGAGGCTGCCAGCGCTCACTTTTTTCCTTTTTTCCGATCTGTCAATCAATCCAGTGGGCGTGTCAGCAAATGACCAATTGGCGACCTCAATTTGTCCCGAAGGTGAACGCCCCTTGTCTGTGAAGCTGCTCTGCAGCTGCTCGGGGTGTACGCTGGAGCATCATGTCTGAACCCTCTGCATACAGTACACGCGTACGTACGCATGAACGGACGTACGCGGCAGTATACTGGAGCCTTAACTCAGCATGTAAACAGTCCCACCCAAGAGCGTGGACATACACTGGACGGTTTTTTAACATGGGATGTGACTGTTAGTAATCTTGAAATTGGTGATAATGCTTTTTTCAGATCACATGCCAGTCCGGTTTGAGTTCACCCTCCCCCATCTAACTCCTAAGCCGTGCATTCCTGCACGTTGCAGCCAGACCATTAACCATCTCACTGCCGCATGTTTCACAGATGTTTATAACTCTGAAATGATAATTCAGCCCCCGGTGTTTCTCACCACCACTGAGGAGCTGACATCCCAGTTCAACTATGTCTGCTTAAAGACTCTGGATCATATTGCGCCTGTTAAAACCAAAAAATAAAAACTCAGAGCAGAACCTTGGCTGAGTGACGTCACCAAGGCCGTTAGGCAGCAATGTAGGAGGGCGGAGCGCAAATGGAGGAAAGACAGGCTGCAGGTCTCTTTTCAAATACTTAAAGAGAGTTGGCGCCGTTATCAGAAAGCAATGAAAGCTGCTAAATCCAAATATTTCTCTGATATAATTACCTCAAACTCTCACAACCCACATGTCCTCTTCTCCACCCTAAACTCTGTTCTCCACCTCACTGAACCATCACCTCTGGAAGCCTCAACTGAGCTGTGCGACAACTTCTTACATTTGTTTTTGGAAAAAATTGCGACCACCAGGGCTCTCATTTCCCCTCCAACTCATGACCCATCCATCCCACTTCAATCTGTAGCTCTATTTGACCATTTTGAACCCATCTCTCTATCTTCTCTACAGCAGGTCATGTGCAGCTTGAAATCTTCTGGTTCCCCCTTTGATGTGGTCCCCCATTGATTACTAAAGGAGGTGATTCCTACTCTAGGTCCGTCCATTCTGGCTATAGTAAACAGTAGTTTATCCACTGGCGTGGTGCCAAAATCCTTTAAACATGCTGCTGTCCAGCCTGTCCTGAAAAAAAAAACAAACCTTGACCCCTCAGTCGTATCCAACTTCCGACCTGTCACTCCCATTTGTTTCTAAAATACTGGAGAAAATAGTAGAGTCCCAGTTTAAGTGCTTCCTGGAGGATCACGCCATCTTAGAGCTATTCCAATCTGGCTTTAAACCTCTCCATAGCACTGAAACTGCCCTGCTGAAGGTCTTTAATGACATTTTCTTAACCACTGATACCGGTGATTCTGTGCTGCTTGTCCTATTGGACCTCACAGCCGCCTTTGACACCATCGACCATGAGATCCTCATTGCTAGGTTAGAGCAGTGGGTGGGCATCACAGGGTCAACCCTCAATTGATTTAGATCTTACCTCACTGACAGATCCTTTTGTGTCTCCATCAAGGATTTTAGTTCCACAGCAGCAGAGCTTAAATGGGGGGTTCCGCAGGGGTCCATCCTGGGTCCCCTCCTATTCTCTTTATACCTGCTGCCACTTGGTGCTATTTTCCGGAAACAAAACATGCCCTTCCACTTCTACGCCGATGACTGTCAAATTTACTTCCCCCTAAGACACAATGGCACATGCTCTATTCAACCTCTGCTCGACTGCCTGGCTGACATCAGGGACTGGATGGCTTTAAATTTCTTAAGTTTCAATGAAAAGAAGTCTGAAGTCATGTTGTTCCCTCCCAACGACACAATCACAAACCACTGCATCGACCTTTCCACTCTAATCCTGTCAGAAAAACAAAGAGTCACTAATCTCGGTGTGATAATGGATCCTTCCCTGAAACTTAACAGTCATGTAAACATGATCGTTAAATCATGTTTCTTCCAACTGAGGCAGCTGTCTAAACTGAAGCCCATATTGTCCAAAAATAACCTGGAGACAGTAATACGTGCATTCATTACATCTAGGCTTGATTACTGCAATTCACTCCTGTTTGGTATCAGTCAGACCTCCATTGCACGACTACAACTTGTCCAGAATGCAGCAGCCCGATTTTTAACCAGTACAGACAAACGAGAGCACATTACACCAGTTTTGGCCTCACTGCACTGGTTACCGGTTCACTTTTGAATCCAGTTAAAAATACTCATGTATGTCTACAAATCACTGAACAGTTTCGCACCCCCCCCCCCCCCCCCTTATCTCTCTGATCTGCTACAACTGTATGTCCCACCGCGTTCCCTGAGGTCAGCGGACCAGTTTCTCCTCACAGTTCCAGGAACTCGTCTAAAGCGCAGAGGTGACAGGGCCTTCTCTGTAGCAGGACCAAGACTCTGGAACGAGTTACCTCTGCTTGTCAGACAGGCCCCTCCCTCTCGGTTTTCAAGTCCCGTTTAAAAACTCACTACTATTCGGTAGCTTTCAACACCAGATGATCTGTTTTGATCCTGTATGCTCTACACTGGTTTGTCGTCATTATCTGCATCGTTTTTATGTCTATATTTCTGATTTACTTCATTTTGTATTTTGCTTTGTGTGTTACCTGTTGTTCTGTCTGTACAGCACTTTGGTTGGCCTTGTCGCTGTTTTAAGTGCTTTATAAATAAAATGGTATGTATGTTTGTGCTGATGATGTTGGGCGTATCGTTTTGTACTAGTGTTGCTTAGTGTATTCTTAGTTAACCTTTTTCTTAGTTCATATCTTAGATATTATTACTGTTTTTCTTTACAATTTATACTTTTGTTTTTGATGTAACTGGGACCCTGTGTACACAATTTCATTCCACCAGATGTACCACATGTGGTGCATTTGACAAATAATGAACCTTTGACTTTGATCCTGGTTGAATGGGCAGCTATCAAGTCAATGGTAGATCCAGAGTTCATGTGTAAAGCAGGAAATACTTCATTAAGGGAAAATGAGCACAGCGTGCTACCAATCAGACTTTTGTGATAATGTGCTCAACAAAGACCATTTCCTCCTAAAGAGGTCAAGGCAGCCTATTGGGAATAGGAAACATACTCCAACAGGTGCAACACTACAAAAAAGTTATTAGAACTGATAAAATGAGAACTATCGGTGCACAAAGCCCAACAAATACCATTTCTAAAATGAAATGGTGATGCAAAAATAGTTCAGTGGAAAATGGAAACATTTTCTGGAGAGCTCAGGATTTACAAATGGAGTGAGGATTCTTATTTTAACAAGAACAAGCTCAGGAGTTGTGTCAGAACCTTGTTAAATAAATCCAGCCAAAGTCTGAGCCTGACTGAACCAAAAAACTATCTTTGAATATATATATTTTAAGAAATGCTATATGGGAGTAACTTCTGAAGAGGATATGAGCCTACCTTGTAAAGCATCAAACAAAAATTAAAAAAAAAACGACCAAAATCACTGAAAACACTTAGCTCATATTTCCTCCCACCTTCGCCTGTAGTTTAGAAAATTAACTAAGAAAAAGTGAATATACAGACTAAGCTAGTAGCAAAATATTAATAGTTCTTACCTGAACAACAGTGGGATTATCCCCTGAGCCAATAAGGTAACGTGGGTTGCTCCAGACGAGCTCGTAGAAGGCCTGCTCATCACCCTTCTCCACAGCTTTCCTTAGTTTTGCTGTTAAGTCTTGACTGCGTGGGCTCTTAAAACTGTTGGCCCGCTCCCTGTTAATGGTGTCAACTTCCATGTTTTCAGCTGTGAGGAACAATAAGGGGATGCAGGTCACTGTCCTGTACTACCAGATGTTTGTTTTACTAAAGCGAACAAAATTGATCCGATTTGTATTTTTTATACATTTATTCACAAAACATTTTCACAATTATCACATTAAGTTCAATGCATGCACATGATCTTAAAGGAAAAGATGTGATTAAAACCAATAAAACATATTGAATATTGAACTTGAACCCACAAAATCTTACCTTTACCCATGACCAGTCCAGGTTTGATAGAAGCACAGGGTGTGGACTTGCTGGGAGAGGGGAAATATTCGCAGAGTCCCTTGGCAAACTTCTCTGCATCTTCACGGTTACTAAAAGCTTTGAAGCGAGCGCCCTTCATGGTCTTTACAGCTTGAAGTGCGTCTTTCTTGTCCGAGTAAACGTGTGTTCCCTCTGAAGCACAAAACAATTGTTAGTGTGTCTGGTAGTACCAAATGACTGAACTGCTGTAATGTTCGTTTGTGGCTGCAAAATGCAGTCCTGAAATGATCGGTGGGTCAAGGACTTCACACAAGCTGAAGGTAGTTGGTTGATTTCAGCTCGACTGTCTTAATCAGGCATTTTAAAACCTTTGTTTCACCAGTCAGGGTATCTTTGATGTGGGACGTTATATAATTTTTAAATATGGGAAAATATAATAATGATACAGTTAGAAATATTAGGTTGTATTTCTTCAATAATACCTAACAAAGTTAAGTCAGGTCCTCTGGATGTTCAAAATAAACAAACAAAACAAAAAACATCCAAAGGACCTGACTTAATTTTTTTTCTACCTGGATTATTGAGCATGCATCAGGATCTTCATTAATACAGGTACAATGATTTGCTTCAGCTTTATTCAGCTATACCTTCACAAGTTTGTGTTTTTCCTTTGGCTAGATGTTTGTGTCGTAGCACAGCTGCATTTAACACTGAAATTAATAAATCAGAAGGTTCCTCTACTCAGATCATCTCTGTACTGTGTTAGGCACTGCTGGAAATTATTTTACGTTTAGGAGTTGTAAATAAAATACATCTTTATGTTATTGTCTTGAACGTTTTTATATTTTAAGATGCATAAAAAAGATAAAAAGTTAAGAATCTACATTTTGGATTGTAAAAGAAATATAATTTTTCTTTTTCAGTTTATGTTTTTTTTGTGCACAAATAATCCTTTTGTTTAGTTCCTCGAAAGCATTTTATGTTTAGATTTCCAGTGGCAAAGAAAGAAGGCCCTGCAACACGACTTTTGTTTGTAAACCAGAAATTAGGAAAACAATATTTTATATGCAGAAAATAAAAGTTTTCAGAAATAATGACGTTGCTCAAATACTGTTGCAAACAAAGCACTAGTGCAGCTGTGGAGGACCCCGTGGTGCCGTCCCACAACTGTCCAACACCTTTTCTAATACTGTACATATGTACTTAACCACACACATTATGTGACTGTAGATAAACAAACATCTCATGGGGGTAAATTCTGCAGGTGGTCTTTAGTTTCATACCCTCTCCTGATGTAGCTAAAGCTTGGAGGTTGTTTTCTGCCTGGTCAGCTGATCAAGTCATCATTGAGTAAACAACAAAAGTCAACAAATTGCTTCTGGTTTTGTAAACACAAAAGTCTTCACTGACCAGTAAAGATTAGGAGAAAATATTTTTGTTGTAGCTCAGATGAAAACATGTATATCCCAAGTAT